AAAGTCTCTCCAAAAAATGATTTTCCTGGTTTGTTTTTTTAAATATTTTATTATACATTGCTAACAAAACTGTACTAAATTAAAAATACAGAGAATTCTCCAGTATGTTTGATAATAAATATAATTTTGGGGAATGTTTACATATGTAGTTATTTTAAATACATAGTGTTAGAATTTGTCTTCTGTAGTGGCCTTGCCGAGAATGTCGATTTGGGACATTTCTGCATTGGCAAGAAACAAACATTTATAGTTAGAGATCTGGACATATGTGTTTCTTCTAACATTGCTTTTAAAGTATAATGGTTTTTCATTTGTGCTCGTACTTAACATTTCTTCAACTAGTCAGAATTTTCATTTTGAAAATAAGTGATTTTTCATCTATTACCGACCTGCACATATGCATTTCTTCTACCTTTAAAATATAATGGTTTTTTTGTGCATGCTTAGTTCCCATTTCTTTAGCTAATGAAAATTTTTGCATTTAAATTAGAGCAGTTTTTATTGCAAATAGTTATCATGCTTACTTTTTTCAATCTACCATCAACTGAAAAGGAAGCTATAGTTTTTAATAAGACAAAAAGCTAGTTTTTTTATTATTATTTTATTTATGAAATTGGGGATAATATGCAATTATACAGGATGCATCAGAAAAATGTATACACAGTTTGAATTCTCGTAAAACATTTTCAACCGACAAGGTTATATTTCTGGGAGAAGTAGGGCTACAGTAAAATATGAAAAATTAGTATACTTTCTGGTCAAACTGAATGTTTCAAATCGTGTTTAAGTAAATATTCAAAATGGTGGTCTTCAGCATCAATACATTTCTGAGTACGAGTCCCGACTGATTCCGTACTTTGCACCAAAGTGTCCAATGGGATTTCTGCATCTCATTGATCAATGGGATTTCTTGAATCTCATTCCAAAGTGAGTCAAGGTTACGTGGTATATGACGGTACACTTCACATTTGACCGTGCCACATAAAATAATCGAGCGGCGTAAGGTCTGGTGAGAGAGCAGGAAATTCGATTGCTCCCTCCCCCCGTGTCCTATCCACTAGCCTGGTACATTTTGATCCAAGTATTCTCGCACATCCCTGTGGTAAAGTGAAGGGGCACCATCTTATTGGTAATAAAACATAGCATTACCATACATTACAGAACATCAGGGAATATGGAATTAGCAAGCATTATTATACACTTTGGTCCAATTACATAACCTTAAAAACGGAAAGATTCAATGATTATCCCAGAAGACAAACCACACTACACTTTTGCACTAGGCACATTCAAAGCCTTGTTAACAGCAGTGTGAGTATTATTTTCAATCCAGTACACACAATTATGCCTATTGGCAATTCCATTAAGTATAAATTGCGCTTCATCAAGCAAAACAATGTTATCCATAAATCCCGTTCACATGTAACCATCTCCTGAACCCATTCACAAGATTGGACTCGAAGGCCATTGTAATGTGCTGTAAACCACATAACTTTGACACTCTTTGGGATGGGATTCAAGCGATGTGAACAGAATATCCCATTGCCATTTTGGTGCAAAGTACACAATCAGTCCTCATTCGTACTCAGAAATGAATCGATGCTGAAGATTATCGTTCGAATATTTACTTTAAACACCATTTAGAACATTCACTTCAACCAGAAAGTACACTTCTTTTTTCAAATTGATGTATAATACTATTCTGAGAAATTTAAATCTTGTAGGTTGGAAAATAAATTTATTATGAGAGTTCAAAGTGTGTACACATTTTTCTGATGCACCCTGTATATTGGAAAAGAAGCCATTTGTTAATATAATGCTAACAACTATAAAAAAAATTAAATTCTTCTTGCTGAGAACTGGTTTAATGGGTCACAAATATCCTTTGTTATGGATCTGTGGAGATCAAAAAAAGTAGAAACAAAAAAACAAATGTACAGCTCCTCTCTCACCTGGAATCCTATTTAGCAGAGTTCATGTTAAGGAACATGTCAGATGTGATAATGTGTTTCAGGCATAATTAGCAGCAGCTGGCTGAATTACGGTCCCCAGAAAGAGCTCACAAAAAAATTAATTTTCCAGTACGTATGCTATATTTTAAATAAATTATGGTTAGAGTAGACTGAAGGGTACTGAAGTTGTTTTTTGTTTATCGCCATGTTGCTGTATGTTATGGAAACCCTATTTTTATGTAATAGGTAGCATGATTGCGCTAAATTTTGAATTATGTGAGATGTTTTGTAAGGGCTTGTGATGTGTGATGGTTAGGAAGTACATTACTTGTTTTGTTGTTTAGATGGTAGAATGGCTGAATGCAGTAAGATTAATTTGAAGTTTCTGTATGATCTGGAACGAAAGGAGAAAAGAGCATTAATTGACTGGTGAATGAAGGTTTACTTAGCAGCCATTTCCCGGACAGTCCGGAACTACAGAAGATATTTTTTACTCTTAATTTTCAGAATTTATGGGGCGACGCCAATATACGAATTTGAGTTCAGACAATTTTTGTTAAGGAATTTCGTGTGACGCAGACTGAAGATGAAGAAATTTCTAAATAACGAAAGTGGATATTTTGCTTTGTGTAGTGTTTAGATGTATAAGAGATTTTTCCTTTTATATGTTATTGTTTGGTTTAAACTGTAGTTTATTGAGATTACGTATTTTTTGTTTGCCTCTACTGAAGAATTGGGTCCTTCTTTGACTTTTTAAGCGAAAATATATCGATGTGTACGTGGACAAAGTCAAGGGAGTGCACAATGCCTAGTTTGTGCAATTCTGTGATTTTTTTTTTTTTTTTTAAGTGAAAATAAGTCCATGTGTAACATGGATACGAGTTCGTGCAATTCTTTGACTTGTTATTTTGTCTTTGTGTAGCAGCGATTTTTGGCGCTAAAATCTCCACTACACAAAGCTAAAATAACGAATCAAAGAATTGCACAAACTCGGTATCCACGTAACACCAATTTTTGCCAAGGGGTACCCGTATATATACTTTTACCTAAATTACTAACTAAATTGCACACTATAATAAATGAAATGTCATTCAAAAATAACAAACATAATATGCATTCAGTAAACCAATTTTTTTCTTATGGCCCAGAATTACAAATGCTTAAACAGTAAAATAAAACTGTAAGTATATCTTTATCACAGTTAAAATTACTCTCTGAACTCTTTACTATTTTAAATATTTATTTAAACATATGTAATAGCTAAAAAAAACGAGATTTTTCAACTGCTGATTCCTTGATGACTTTCAAAAAGATCTGCATTTCGAATGAAGCAATTTTTTAGTCTGTAGTTGTTGTATGAACAAAAATATATCAAGAAAAATAAAAATTTGATACAAACTAATGCTAAAAGTAAACATTTCAAACTTAAGAATAAAATCCGTAAGCATTGTCCCACACCGCATACAAAGTTATTAACAAATGCAATAATTCCCAAGAAATTATAAAATAATGCTTACATATAAAATAACAACTTTCCAACCTCATCTATTGTGTTATTGCATCCTAACATTTCTTACAACAGACGCGGTTAGCGCCATAAGCTGTTGCCAGTTTCTTTCAACTTTTACAAAAATTCTGTATATTCTCAAGACAAATCTCACTGCAGTTTTTCGCTAGAAAAAGCGACCTGTCCACGAAACACAAGATCTTGCACTATAAATCAATGATAAGGCCTATTTTGCATGTCCCGTATGGTGCGCAGTAGCATAAGGAAACATAGCCATATTTTCCAAAATATTATGCTTTGGCAAATCTACAAAGCTCCTTGGTTTGTTACGAACAAGGATATTCATAATGTAGCCAAAATTGTTTCCTTAAATCGATTTATACAGCGGCTTCTGGTTAACGTTTTCAAAAACATTCCTTCGATAGGTAACCCCGTTCTCGATTCATTGCCTTTCGTTAACGTTTCGCATGGTAGAGGGGATTGAGAATTCCAGTTTTCTTTCAATCGTTCGTAGCTGTCGAACAAGAAGGATTCTCTTGCTACTTCACTCTCGTATGGAAATCTCGTCGCACGGTAGGAGAATACGGCTCTTTATCCATGTACACATCGACCTATTTTTCACTTAAAAAGTCAAATAAAATTGATAAAAATCTAATTCCTCTTACTCTTGCAAAACGCGCCAAACAAATAAGTGGGCGATTCTGCACTTCACACCAAAAAATACGCGACTGAAATGAAAACTTAAAATTATTATAGCTTGAAAAACTGCGAAACTCCACAGAAAAACATTCATACTGTAAGTAGAATTCAAAGTTCGCCTGAAATATTCTTTGTTATTGTTTACATCGAAAACTTGGTCAATGTATATTAATAAATCACGTTTGTTTCTTCATATATGTGCCACTGAGTCTCTTCTCCGAAATTTACCCGTGCATTTAAGCATCTTTATGAAAATTCTGAATTGCCTTGAAGGTAGACACATCTTATGAAAAATCGAATTTCTTTATTCGAGTAATTGATAATTTGAGTAATTTATATTCGAGAATAATTTCTCCCAATTTTGATAGAAAGCTGTACTCTCTGATAGTCTGGAAACTGTTTTTCGTTTTATTTTAAAGAATAAAAGTTCTGAAATTAGTAAATGTATTTATCACGATTTTTAGTATATTTTACTTTTATTTATTTGATATTGGGGTTTTGTTTGATAATGTCAAATTTATATTAAAAATATTTAGGAGCACAGATTGGCAGCATAAAAACTATTGCAACTTCTTTTACTTTGGAAACCCCATTTATTGCGCACCGTATCACAGAACTTTTAAATACGCAATTGAAAAAAGTTCGATTGCTATTTTAACTCAGTTCTTTTTAAATAAAAAATTAAAATCTATATTATATTACATAGATTGCATATAATGATTAGCTTTCACTTCTAGCTTAACAAAGAATTATAACCCTTATTTGAAGGAATTATTTCACCATTTTCGCGGATGAATACAGGCATATATAAACCGACTAGCAAGTGTGGAATCAGTCTCTTTTTGTAGAGTCAGTGGAGGTGTTTCACGTGGGAGCTTAAAAACTTTTTTTTTTTAATCATAAACGAGAAATATTTGCTCTTTCGAGCGCCAAAAAAAATATAAAATAATAAAAAATACTAAAAAAAAAATCGTAAAATACTGAAAATATTTAAAAAATAACTTGAGGCGGAAAGCGGAATCCTCTGTTGCATCCAAAGTTACTTATGTTGTAGGCTTAGCAGAAAAGTATACGTTTTCCTGAACAAAATGAATCCGAGTGGGCCGAATTATCCCATTGCCTCTTTGTATGTTGGAGATCTACATGCTGATGTTACAGAGGCCATGCTTTTTGAAAAATTTTCTACAGCAGGACCAGTTCTTTCCATAAGAGTTTGCAGAGATTTGATCACACGTCGCTCGCTAGGGTATGCTTATGTTAATTTTCAGCAGCCTGTTGATGGTAAGTACACTTTACGTTATTTATCTTTTTTTTATTGATTGTAATTGAAAATATAAATTTATTCTTACTTATGTTATTAAAATCATCCGGATAACGTTTGCTTACATGTGTAGGCTATAAATGGGGTAGATTGTTTAAATCCGCTTTGCTAAGGTGTTCAGTTAATTTTGGCAAATATGATTTATCCTGTCATGTGTTGGCAGATAAGGAATTACGCATGCCTGAAATTTCAATATACGTAGAGACAAAATCATTTGAGATCTTCAGATATTTTATTTTAGAATATAAACCAAATAAATACGTTGGTGCTACCAAAGTAGCACAAACGTAACGTATGATATTGCGAATGTTTAAGTAGTTAAAATTACTCTATTTTTATATTTGTGTGGGAATATGTGTAATTCTAATTTTAGCGTTATTTCTTTAATTTAGCTGAAAGAGCGTTAGACACAATGAACTTTGACACTGTCAAAGGAAGGCCAATTAGAATTATGTGGTCACAGCGAGATCCATCTCTGAGAAAATCAGGTGTAGGTAATGTCTTCATAAAGAACTTGGACAAAAGTATTGATAACAAAGCCATGTATGACACATTCTCTGCCTTTGGAAATATATTATCGTGTAAAGTAAGTCCTTTTTAAAAAAAAGTATCAAATGAACTTTTACTATAGTATTTTTAAATCTGCCTTTTGGGTATGGGCTTTTAACTGGAAAGCTGAACTTGCTTCTAAGTTTCACAAAAGGCAATCAGTTATTAAGGAAATTTTGTTTCAAAAGTTTTAATTAAATTTTTTCATTAATCTAGTGCAGATATATAATTCATAATTCTAATTTTTCTAAAGTGTTTTTTGTACTTAAATGTGATAATATGCATATCAGTTTACTGTCTGGTAGTGTGGCCGCATAGCATTGCAACACATAACACTAGAATCGCAACAGTTTCGGTATACCTAAAACCGCGGCCTGGGTAAGTTGACCCCAATTAATAAAAACCCATGTTATGTTAAAAGTATGCTGTAATTATTAGCAATGACATTTATTTCTTTTTAACATTAAATTCATATAATAAGTGATAAAAAATAATATATTACAATATGCAATATTGTATACAGTTAGTAAAATATACAGATAACTTTAATAGAAATAATTTCTTACCAGTCAAGATTTCCTGCACAGTTCATGTACATGAATGAACCCATTTTCGCATCTGCGCAGATTCTACAGTAGTATCCACTTTTGTCTGTGTATCTGAGTAATATATGCACTATACTTGTTGAAGTTCCTCCTTGCAAGTTCTTTCGAGTAACTTTGTATAAAATCCATGAATTAATTCCTGCAAGATCAAGAATATTGTAGAATATGTGAACTGGCCACCTCCTTGGTCCTGTCATCAGAGAATATTTCCGAGCCATTTGGTCGGCAACGTCAGCCGCAAATTTTGTTGAATTATATTGTTTCCAGAAGCTTTTTTGTGTGATTATTGACGATATCAACTGTGGGATGTGAAGGAATAAGACATTTTTGCTTGTTTTTTCCTGATAAACTGTCAAAGTTGTATCATCATGCTCCAGTAACAATATATCGTACAGCGGCATCTTTACTCTTTTTCACAAATTCAGGTGCTTCTTTCGATTTTGTTTTATTGTTTCAGTTAAACTAGTGTTCTTCATTTTTAACATTTGAGACAGATTTAGTAAAAAAAATTATCTGTAGGGATATTTCTTCCTTTATTTTCGAAATGTTCTTTCAAATCCAAAATGACGTATTCAAAGGTTTTCAGGACATTCCTCATCTTTACCCAAATATAGAATACCATTGAACACATATTTACTATCAACATCAGCGGCAATGAAACAGCTGTTCACTAATAGTTATATGTGGTCCTGGTTTATAGCAGGTTCTCGAATTTTCAATGAATTTCTTCCAAACTTCAGAAATGAAACAGGATTTATCTGTTTATAGGCATTAAGACCCCCCCCCCCCCCGAAATACAGAAATTTCATAAGTTCTCTGAATCTATCTCTTGCCATAGTATCACGGAAAAAAGGTAGACCCCAAACAAGACTATCGAGCTCTAGATTGTTTGCGGTGCTGCTTTGGTAGACAGTTGCACCGATTTTTGGCGATTTACTTTGGCTCGGTTTTAACAATTGTCAGCCATCTTGAAAAGCACTGTTTTTACGTATTTTGCCTATAGTAAAGTATTCGAAACTTGAAAAAAATAATGGCTTAATTTTTTGTTGAAAACAACGTTTTTTAAGTTGGCAGGCAAATGTAAATAAATACGTTTACTACGAGTATAAAATACTAAAGTAAATTATTACTTTCATATAGCACTGAAATAGAATAAAAACATTGGGTTGATCTTTACATTATGGTAACTTGGCGTTTTTTTGGCGAAAATTTGGCGACCAACTCTCCTACAGCAACCCTCTATTTTTTTCCCCGCCGCCATTTTGTCTTCACGAAGTAAAGACATGTTTCTTTTCCTTTTATCTACTGAACACTTCTTCCAACAATCTACAAGCCGAATTACACTTAGGCTAGAAATTTTATCTAACAAAACTGCTTAATCATGACAAATATTCACTGCAAAATTGGGAAAAAGTGCACGATACCATACTCCTTACGCGTTTTTCAAAATAACACATACACATAAACCATGTACACGCCAACTTATTTTTACTTAAAAAAACATCCCAGAATTGCACAAAAATGGCATTGCGCACACTCTTCACTATATCCATGTACACTGCTTTTTTCTCAGAAATTAGAAAAATTTCACGAAAATACATGACAATTTTCTCAATCTTTAAACCCGTAAAAAGAACGTATATGAAATTACCTGATCGCGAAAAAGTATTTACCCTTTCCAAATATAAACATTTTCACATATAAAATAAATAAAATATCAAAAAACTTTTACCTCTAAATCATTTATTATATTATAAACGTCACCAACGAATTCATACCGCAACCATTACAAATACTTAGTGTCAGATGTTTAAATTATTTCCATGCACGTTTACTTCAACTTAAACGTATACCAAATTCCCACAAACATAAAATTCACAAAATAACTATCATTTAATTAAAATATAATTAAATTCAAAAAACACTACTTAAAAATATAAATGAGCACATACATTAAATTAATAAAAATTACCTTCCAATCCTAATTACTTTAAACTAAATCATTGCTAATAACAATTTTCCCAATAATACCAAATTCCTTTACTTCCACCTTACATTTAGAACAATGCATAAAAATAATATACTCAATTAAAAATACTAACTTACCTAATCTTCTTCAGAATCTTGATTACGTGTCCGATAAACTTTTCTTTAGTTACGGCCATGGGATCCAAAAATTCACGAACACTGTTTCACACAACACAGAATAAACCAAATACAAAATTTCCAGATTTTTTTCCGATTAAAGAACCGTAATTCGTCCATTAATATCACATGACATATCCCATGATCTCTCATTTCCCTCACACAAAAGAATGCGTAATCGGAACTGAGTACTGCTCACATTGTTACCAAAGTCCCAGGTAGTAACCTTTATCGCCTCCAAAATGTCGCCAAACTACCAGTTACCATATTGTAAAGATCAATTAAACATTGTACCAGCGAGCTAAAATGACAGCAATTAGAAGTTTACTGCTGGTAAAAAATGAAGAATGTCTAATACTTTTTTTACCGTCACAGCAGTTATTTCATCCACCATGAACCACAATACCATATACGCCGTCCTCAGAATCAGCTCTTTTAACAAACTTCATCTGTGTTCCTCATTTCTTGATATGATTTATCGTATTTGACGGCATATAAGATGCACCCTTATTCAGAAAAGGGTTTCGATAGTCCGCGCAAGGAAGGAACATGCAAGGAAAAAAAGTTTCAATAGTCTGTGCTGTACCACGATAACTTAAAATGTGGTTTCTTTTAGTTCTTACATTTCGTAAAAGCCAAATAAACAATCATTGAATGCAATTACCAAACATATTTTTATTAAGCAAAATTCAAACGGCAAGCAAACATAATATAAAATAAAGCATAAACAAAAAAAAAAAAAAACACTGATTCAAGGAAAACGTTGCCTATCATGAAATTAGACTTTAATCACTTTCAAAACCATAAAAATCCTTTTAATTATAATCATCATCGAAAATGAGAATATCGTCATCACTAGTATCACCTTCTTCGAATAATGTGTCGTCTTCTGTTCTGTCAAGACCATTACTGATTCCGCACTTCTTAAAGGACTTGACAATTACTTCAGCCTTTACGTCCTCTTAAGATCTTTTTATCTACTCGCACATTTGTGAAATAGAGGGCCGCTTCATTCTATCTGAGAGTGTGAGGTCATGATGTGGATCTCCTTGTTACATCCATCGTTCTTGCACTTTTTACTTAAATGGCTTATTCACCAATATATCTAAAGGCTACAATTGGCTAGTCAGTCCATCAGGAATGACAGCTATCTGGTTTTTTAATTCTCCTGCTTTATGGTTTCAGTTCTATGGGCGCTAAACTGATCCAAAACCAAAAGAGGGGTTTTTTAAGAGTCCACTAGGTTGCCTTGCCCATACGTTCTGTAACCACAGTTTATTTCCAGCTTTGTCCATCCAGTCTTACGAATGAACATGAACAATTACTCCCATTGGAAGTTTTTCTTTTGAATGTGAAAAACGGCGATAGTTTTATGCCGTAAGCACAACATGTTAGAACTACCATATATCGGGTTTTTTCATGATCTGTGGTTTTTATGGTTATTAATTTAGACCCGTTAATACTCAGTCTTGTTGGATGGTACATCAAATGTGAGTGGAATCTCATCCATTTTTCCTATTTGACCGAGCTCAAAAGAAGTTTTCTTGCGTGCATTTATAACAAACCTATGAAATGCTTGTATTTTTTCTTCATAATCTGCTGGCATTTTCTGTGCAATAGTTGTTTTCGTGCGCATTGATAGGCCTTGCCTTTTCATGAACCTGTAGCACCAGCCCTCATACCTGAAAAGTTCAGATTCCAATGTTTTTCTGCAAATCCTTTGGCCTCGTTGATTATCATTTTTATTGAAACACTTATCCCAGATTTCCTCTTATCTATCACCCACATTTTTAGGTCATTTTCAAGTTCAGGCCAAGATGGATCTGGGCATTGAAGGTTATGCTTTTGTTTTTAGCAGTCTTCAGTTGATCTTCCTGTAGTCGCCAAGTACGTATCATTTTTTTCGTTAGGTGGTGGACCAAAATGCCTTGCAGCCGCTCTGTTTCCATTCACTTTGGCGTAGTTTAACAATCCTAGTTTATACTGAATTGTATAGCTTAATCTCTTGTTTCCTGTAGTCATATTTTCCAGGGTATTTTTTTAAAACAAATAGTTTAAGCACCGATACCGGCACATGTATACAGAGTAGCACCAATACCAATACGTGTGTTAGCAGAGTCAAAGAAAGTATGTAAAGAAGGAAAGGCCCCATAGACATAATGTGACCTTCGAACTTCAACATCAGCTTCAAGCTTTGGCGCTTTTTGGCGACAGATATTTCACACATGCGCAAGGGCTAAAAATAGCATTCACTCTTGAAAGTTAACCTGTGTCCTTCACGTATAAGAAGCCCACCAGCAGGCGAGCGGGAAAGGCGCTAAACACTGGTAGTTCGGTCCGAGGTTCGAATGTATACGAGCCCGTTTCCCTTAGAAAGTCCTCCACGCACCCTCCCTTTAGGTAGATAGCCCTCATGTGCTTTGCCATAATTAAATAATCCAAACACATATAAGACGCATGTAACTTTTTTAGACCAAATTTAGGAAAAAAAGTGCATCTTATGTGCTGTCGAATACCGTAAATCAAATTCCGCCTCATTATAAATATCACAAATACACATCAAATAGTTTTCTGGTTGCAATTGTCTAATTTCGGCTATGCGTAATGTATGCTTTACGCTTGCGCGCGTTGAAAGACATGTTTAATAAAGTAAGCAAAATAAATATTAAGTTTTTTGTAAATTTTGATACCCTATAGATGATAATTGCTCTTTATTTCATAAATTACGGTTTCATATTTTCAATTCTATAATTTCTGCATGCCCATCATACCAGATTTGAACTGATGATCTATAATCCGGAATCGACGAGTCCGGATTAAAGACTTTTGACTGTAGTTATTTATTGTACGTATTTGTTTGAATAGGTAGCAACTGATGAGGAGAGCACTTCAAAAGGCTATGGATTTGTTCATTTTGAAACTGAAGAAGCAAATAATGCGATCATGAAAGTAAATGGCATGCTTCTTAATGGCAGAAAAGTGTAAGTTTATAACAAGTTTTTAACGAGTGTCTTAAATTATAAAAATGCATGAAACACTCGAAAGATGAGCCTAGTGTTTATGCCTCTACCTATAATGCCAAACCATTTGTATTGCAACAATTTACAGAAGTTCTGATGTTTGATTTGATTGTGATTCTATTAGGGCAAGATTTTTTTATTCTCTCTTAATTTACCATCCTTTTTTATTATGTACTAAATGAAATAGATGCATTTAACATAGGTATTGGACAAATTTTGATTGAATTAAATTTGCGTAATTATTTGAATTCTTTCACTGTATAGTCATGTGAAAAAATTGAAAAATGGCTGTATCACTTTAATAATGGGTGCCGTGAAAATGAACTGAATGGAAAAGTATGCGTGTTTCAGGTGACCTTTAACGAAGTACTTAATGTATCAGAAAGCTGTAAAAATAATTTTTATTTTGGTTTTATTAGTTTTTTGCATAATTTATGGTAAAATGGCTTAAAATGAGTAGTTCCAACCTGGGTTTGATTCCTAGTGAATGAGCTGGCTGCATCAGCAGTTTTGTGGCTTTCCACATGTGCAACATTATAAGGTATTTTTCCTCTTCTTCCAGCATGCCTTTGTGGTGTAAAGAGTAGTACACCAGTGAGGGCGTTAAGCATTTTTCATGTTTCCTACTCATCAAAAACCCTAATGATTATGAGTCAGTTTCCCTTGCAAAGTTATCCACGAAGGCATTCTTACCCTTAGGCAGATAACCCTATTATGTTTTGTCATAATTAACTAAACCAAACCAACGTGTATAAAATGGTGAGTTTTACAAAAGTTGTTAAATGTAAATAAAGTATAATGATCCAGAATGGCTGGGACGTCAGTATCTTTTAAAAATCCAAATTTCTGGACTTTAGATACTCAGTTTTAGTTGAATAAGAAGACTTGGACATACAAAAACTAAGATTTTAGGTATCGTTTCAGTCAGTAAGAAAAATGCTATCCCTTCCTCCCCGCAGAGCTGATACCTGAGCAGGGTATCAGAATGCCCCAGCAGCATGAATCCTGCCCTTCCAAGTCAAGAGCTAAAAGTGTGATCCTGGCCAACATTAATATGTCCAGAATTTCGAACTCTTGATTTAGGCAAGATACTTCCGATTCCAACTAACCTGATTTGCAACATATTTCTCCTGTCCTTTCTCTTATTTTTAAATTTTCTCACAATTTTTAGAATACTTTTTTATTTGCACTTGAGAGTTATTTTTGGCCTCTGGAAGTGCTTATTTTTTTCTATAGATACATATAAAAGAAAACAAATCATTTCATCACTGGCTCTCAAAATCAGTCATGTCAAAGGTTTTCAAAAGTTGGAATCAAAACCCTCAGTTCTCTAGAAGATTCGACTGTTCGCATATAGTTTTCCGACGCAATGATCGGCGGCGTCTCCGACAAATTATATGGCAGGACAGGGTGCTCTCCTGTGCTTTAGCTGACATAGATCGTCAACCAAGGTCCTTCCCCGCAGATTTTAGTTCGAACCATACGCAGAGGATAGGAATGCATAGTCTGGTGCTTGTGAGAAAACCACTCCTTTCTGCCCAACATGCTAGAATTTGTATGTAGTAGTCTTGGGAAAGAAGACTGTGGACATGAGGATTGGAAACTGGTAATGTAGTCGGATGAATCGTACTACGTCTTATTTTGCACTGATGGAAGACGTGGAATTTGGCGAGAACTCCATGAAGCCATGAATCAGTCATGCCTTATTTGTACTGTGCAAGGGTCTGGGAGGAGTATCATGATGTGGGATATGTTCTGCTGTCATGGAAGTGGTTTCCTAGTGTTCCTCAAGGTTAAACAGCCATAAAATATCTAGATATACTGGCAGATTAAGTACATGCTGTAGTGTTGCATTTTTACCTTTATAGTGACGGATACTTCATGAATAATAATGCAACTATACATCACGCAAGAAGTGTTCAAAATTGGTTTGCAGAATATAAGTCGACTTCCAACAACTTCTCTGGCCACAACATAGCCTGGATCTTAACCACATAGAAAATGTGTGGCATATCGTAGAAAGTCTCATCCAACAGCATTCTCCTCTTTCCATCAAAAGATCTAAAAAGTGCATGGTATTCTGTGGACTCCATAGGCATGTAGGCTTGATGCCCAGACGAATCAGAGCAGAGCCATGCAAAAGGTGGTCCAATAAAATATTGCTTTTGGGTTTTTAATTTATTAGTTCAGGGTGTATATATATACATGCTGGTTATCTTAAGAGAAATATTTATCTAGAATCCTTGACCAATTGAACCCACTTCTGACATTTTTTAAGGAACAAGTAAATGCATCTAGACTTGATAAAAGATTGTATTGAAAGTTATATCTACTTATATAAGGTTTTAAAAACAGCAAGTATTGATACCCAGTGGAATTTAACTAGAAAAGTACTGGCAGAATTTTAAATTACAGTGAATTGTCTAGAATAATGTTGGCCATCCTGACATTCGCCATAGTAATGCAGAGTATAGGAAAATTTTTAACGCAGTTACTAAAACAAGGTCTAAATTGAGATCCAATATTAGTAATGTCACATCAGAAAAAGTTATTAGCAAAAGCAGGCCAGCACCTAAGAGCTTCTTTCTTAATAAAAGAAAAATGTGCCATTTATTACATGTAAGTAATTTTGTTCTTTAAGAATTAGTAACTGAACTTTCAGATATTGATTAGTTATAATTCATTATCAAAAAGTACATATTTTTATCATTAAAAAAATCTTTGCCATTGAGAAAATTTTTCTGATTGTTAAGTTGGCAATTATGTACAAGGCAGTTAAAATTAAAACACCCCTACTCTGAGCTCTCTATACATCGAACTATTGAATGTAAAGGCCCCAAAATTGTTGAATATACTGTTCAAGGATGGGGAAATGGATTACGTGAAAAAAAAATAGTTCCAGAAACACTGATAAGTGGTGCTGTACAACAAAACATATGCTGAAAATACACTTTATAACACATTTAATTCGAACGTAACGAACATTCATATCACAAAAATCTTATCGATGTAAGGAAAGCTGCTCAATATTGTTTCCTTTTTCAAGTTGTAAAATCTGCAGTCTGTGGACAGCTTGTTCAACTGCGGATCGTAATTTGTCAATTGAGATGCTTCTCGCATGCAGAGTAATACTGCCTTTCAAATCTGCCAGTTACCAGATATCGTCGATAAACAAGATTTTTTAAGTAACCCCACAGCTAAAAATCACATGGATTAAGATCTGAAGAGCAAAATTGCAGTTAATATTTCCATACCTCGTGTTTTTATTTGTTCCTTTTCAGTATATTTTCTGTTGTACAGCTCCACTTGTTGGTGTTCCTGCAACTAATTTTTTTCCCCACGTTATCTGTTTCCCCATGTCTTGAATAGTATGTTCAACATTGTGGGGCCTTTACACTCAGTAGTAATGTACTATGGAGTTTGGGCTTCCCTGCTCCGAGTAAACTTAATCTCACTGCAGGTCCACTCTCCCTTTGGGCACGTCGTGGAGGTTCAACCTCCACTATTACCCTCCGGAAGAGCAGCTCACCACCTGGGGACGGGCCCCAGGCAGCACCGGTTGTCAATTGCTCCTACCAGTCGCTTGGGCGAGCCCGTTGCAGCGGGACATTACCCAGCGACGCCGGGGGAGACCCCCGGGTTACTAGTACCACGCCGCGCTAGGACGTGCCAGACTCCGAGGCCAGCCAATAAATGACCTTTCCCAGAGCCTTCAAAACCACCAAGTTCATAATCTTTATACACCCGTGGCCGAGACTGCCTAGGTACAGATCCTAGCCAGTAGCTTCGCAGAGTTCTCTACGTCGACCCCCGGGGGGCAGTAGTAATGTACTGAGAGCTCAGAGTAGGGGGTGTTTTAATTTTAACTACTTTGGATGTCAGTCAATCAGTGCATCTATATCGGCTGATTTATCACTTCCTGGCCAACCGTTGTTTGAAAGTAATATGTATGAATGTTGTTTAGTCTAAGAGTCCAATTTATGACACTCTTGTTTCTTGTATTCTCCATTCCTAAACTCTGCAAGAGGGAAATTTTTTTATTTTTGGATGGTGGTTTGGAGGTACTGTTAACTCCCTTCTGTGCTGATGAATTATTCGGTTAGAAATAATGCGATTCCTATTTCAGAATACTTTATTATCTATCTGATTATTAGTTTTAGTTGCATTAAAACTTTAAACTAATGATGAAAAACCATTTCTTGTGGTTTTCAATCATTATTGTATATGGAAAAATTTCGGTACTCTTATGTTAATTGATATGTATGCATGCATTGTATGTTTAGATGTACATGTTCATGCATACATATATGTGTGTGTATATATATACATACATACATTTAAGAATCCGGCCCTGATAACAGAAGAGTACCAGAATTTCCTTGGATGTTTGAGAATTTAAATACATAATTTGTTTAAGTGTACAAACTTAATTTATTAATAACATTGGTGTAGTATTGATCATTGAATGTAATATTTGATCATCTGTGAATATACACACTGCTGGCCGACCGTAAATGCAACACCCTGAAGGAAGCATGCAAATAACATGAAATTTACATCTATTAGCGGAGGTGAGATATGCAAATGATTATAATTTCTGTGCAGACTCGCATTACGTGCGCCTGTGGCGCCACTTCAAAGTGCTATTTAAGTCTTGGAATTTTCGACGATTTCAAGTTAAGCAATTGTGTTTTTCTTGTGGTTTTTTCAAAAAAAAAAAAACGATGAATTATGCCTCGTAGTAAACAGCGATCATAATTTGTTCAAGTATCCGAGTTTCGACAGAGGAAGGATAGTGGCCTACCGAGGGTGTGGATTATCTTTCAGGGAAGTCGGTGGTTGTGTTGAACAAAACCAAACAACTATAATGCTGATATGTGACTGTTGGATGCAGAAGGGTGCGACGGACCGACGTGTTCGATCGCATCCACCTCAGTGCACCACTTCGCTTGATGACAGGAACATTATGCGCATGGCAGTGACGGATTGCTCAATCACATCACGAACCATAGCACAGCACATTCAGTCTGTAATCGGGGCCCACCAGAGGCCGAGCGGTAAAATCCCTGAACACTGGTAGTTCGGTCCGAGGTTCGAATCCTGCGAACGGGCTGGCTGCATGGGCGTTTTCGTGGTTTTCCCCATGTGTAACGTGTATACGAGCCAGTTTCCCGTATAAAGTCCTCCACAAAGGCATCCCTCCTCTTAGGCAGATATCCCTCGAGGCTTTGCCATAATCACACACACAGTCTGTAATCGTCCAGTGTTCGCACGTACCATTTGACGCCGTTTGCAGCAGAGTGGTCTGTTCGCAAGACGTCCATTGCTTCGTCTACCTTTGACGCAGAACTACAGACGTCTCCGCCACCAATGGTGCGGTGAAAGAAGGATGTGGACGCCAGAATGGAATGAAACTGTCTTTACTGACAAGTCACGCTTCTCTTGGAGACACCGTAGAGAGAGAATGTTGAACAGCTGCGGTATTGAATATCTCTTTTGCACTAAACAGCCATCACTACAACTCCGAGGTGTTGTCCTTCCTTACCCACAGCCATATTTCAACAGGATGAGCGACCACATGTGGTATGCTTTGTCCAAGGGTTCTTCGTCAATCACCAGATTGAATTGCTTCCCTGGCCGGCTCACTCTCCGGATCATTCGCCGATAGAAAACATGTTTCATGGTTGCTAAATGATTGACTCGGATTACATCCCAAGCTGCCCCACCAGATCAACTTTGGCAACGTTTGGAAGCTGCTAGAACACATCTAAAGTCTCTTTGAATCAACGCCGATGCGTGTGGCAGCGGTGATCTTCAACAATGGCGGCTACTCTGGCTACTGATTCTGAAGAGAACCACACTTCACAGAATTCTATAAATTTAATCATTTGATTTTTGGTCAACATGTTATCTACTAAATAAATTTTGTTGTGATATCTCCTGTCTTTCTTGGTATTGCAATTTGGGTGGCCAGCAGTGTATATTAAAATGTATTTTGAACTAGCAGTGTTACAGATTTCACTAATTTTCATCTTTTCTAGTTTTGTTGGAAAATTCATCCCCCGTAAAGAGCGGGAGAAGCTCTTGGGTGAAAAAGCGCGTCGTTTCATGAATGTTTATATCAAGAACTTCGGTGATGATCTTGATGATGAAAAGCTGAGAGAGCTGTTTGAAAAGTATGGAAAAATAACAAGTGCCAAGGTTTGTATGAGATTTCTATATTTTTTAGTTTAACATGTAAATCACAACAAGTTTGTATTTTATCACTGATATATTTATTTATCTGGTTTAATATAGATTTTCACTTGCTATTCATTTGCAGAATTTCATTACTCAAATTTAAGAAAATGAGTAGGTTTCATATTTGATTAACTTAGATATTTGTTATGCTTTTAGAGAATGTCTTCTGGAGTAGGTTTTTCAAGGAAAATGAAACTTAAAAGAGTACTCTTCTGTTATAGTGACAGCTTCATGCCTGAGGATGTTTTTTTCCATAGACAAGAACCTCATTATTAGGTGTACCTGATCTTTTTAGGGGTTGAGATTTTGCAAAGCATGAGTGTTTGTAATCAACAAAATAATTTTCCTTTAAAATTGTAATTTAAAAAAATTAAACTAATTCATGTATTTTCCATTCTGCACTTATTCAGATTTTTTAGCTCTTGAAGGAGAAGCCGAGACCCAGCATAATGCCATTTGGGAGACTGTATGTGCCCATGCAAATAAGAATAATGAAACATACACACGTATTATTATTACAGTAGTACATCTTACTGCAAAATGCATGGGAGTTGTGTAAGTGCGAGTACTAAGTAATTGATGACGCACAACGATAGTGTAAAAAAGCCTTAGTCAAGCTCTCAATTTAGTTTGGGAGAGGAGTATGGGAAAATCATTTGTGACAAGCTTAAAATAAGTGACTGTTTCATCCAATCATTGTTAATACCCCCAAGAAAGAATTTGTTTTAGTGAGTAATTAAAATAAGATAAACTAATTTTTTAGCTGTAAGTTATCTGATATGTTATATATGTACACTCATGAACAAAAAAATTAGCGCACCAAGAAATAATTGCGGGATTGTAACGAAACTTAACAATGAAGGTACATGTTGGGGAGATATGCAAATGATTAGAATTGCAGCGTGATTGTGCATTACGTATAGCCGGTAGAGAGCGTTGAACATCATACTCTGTGGAGTATAAAACAGGTAAACCAAGCTTGTTTGAGTGTGAATCATTTACAAAAGAAGAGCTGAGGTAGACATGCCATTACGCCGTGTTCGAAGACTATATGAGCAGTTGTCACAGTTTGAAAGGGGGAGAATCGTCGGGATGATGGAAGCTGGGTGGTCAGCTAGGCGAGTAGCTCGTCAATTAGGCCGCTCTGATTGTATTATGAGGAGGTGTTGGGACCAGTGGACCTAAGAGATGTCATGTACACGAAGACCAGGCTCAGGATGCCCTCAACCCCTCAGGGGGCTTACTTTTGTGAGTACGGGTGTAGCAATCCCGAGGTACCCTAGCCCTTCAGGGGATCATCTTGGTGAGACGGGTGTCACGATCCTGGAGCCCCAGTGATCTATCCTCTTTTCCGTCTCCCCTCCTCTTGGCTGGAACTTTTCCCCTTCCCTTCTCCCTTGTGGTTTCTCTCTTCGGAGTTTGGGGCTCGTCACAAGAAATTGGAACAGCCCTTATCTCTAATTTTCGTCAGTGGCTTGGGGTCAAGCTCTCGGGAGTACCTGCTTTCGGGAAAGCTGACTGTGAGGCTTCAGTTTGCGTATGGGTCCGGCTAGCCCTAACACAGGAATCTGTGTTCCCTTGTTGGGCTCCATGGTGGGCGGGGCGTCGGACCCAAATCGTTTCTTCTTAAATATGGCTTCTCTCTTTATCTTTAAAAAACCCCGAGTCGAATGAAACCAACCAAGATATCGAAATTGTCGACAAATCCATCAACAAGAAGATCCTTACAGGTGCAAATGCCAAAGACATTGAAATTGTTGACAAAACCATTAGCAAGAAGATTTGTACCAATGCAAATACCAAGGAAACTACTGAAAATCCTCGCTTCCTCATTGTCTCTAGTCCTTCTGGTGAACTGCAAAAGATGTCTCCTTTTCTCGTAAACAAATATATACATTCATGTATAGGTGAGCCAAGGAACATAAAGCACCTCCGATCAGGAGACCTTCTTATTGATACCATATCGGCCACCCAGTCTGCTTCTCTTTCCCGACAAACCAAATTTGGAGAAATATCTATAACTGTGTCAGTGCACAAAACACTTAATTCTTGTAGAGGTGTGATCTCGGAGATCAACCTTCTGTGTGTCTCAGAAGAAGAGTTCGTCTCCGAGTTAGCTGACCAAAATGTCTGTAGTGCTAGGCGGATCAAGATGCGAAAGGAAGGCCAGTTGATTGACACAAAACACGCCTGATCTGCCTAAGAATATTAAAGCCGGATATCTAAATCTTCCTGTAAGACCTTATATTCCTAACCCTATGTGATGTTTCCAGTGCCAGCGTTTAGGCCATTCTAAGATGTCTTGTCGTGGCAGCCTCACATGCGCTCGATGCTCACAGATTGCCACGATTCTGAAAATTGTACCGCTGCGCCTTTGTGTATAAATTGCAAGGGTCAGCACACAGCATTTTCACGCCTGTGCCCAAAATGGAAATCCGAAAAAGAAGTGCAGACTGCAAAAGTTACCAGAAACATCTCATATGCTGAAAGCCAGAAAACTAGTTCAAAGCACACAGCTCCATTCAAACAAATCATACGCCAGTGCAGTTAAAACAACACGTAGCATTGCCACCCAATCATCAATAGGCACTCAGACTGTACCAAATAAAACCCAACCGACTACATCCACCAAGAATAAGGAAAATGCAACTCATTTAATACAAAAAAATAGGTCATTCAAAGTAAACCCAAAACTGCCACTAAAAAAATATCAAATAAAAATAGAAGTTCCAGCAATAGCTCTTTTGATGAAATGATTTCTGAATCTGCGGATTCAGAAAGTATGGATGTAGAAGAGGGTCTAGAAATCCCAGGCATCTACTTCCACGAAAAACAAAAGAACAGCACAGAAAGAATAAAAACCATTCATAATGGCCATCCTCGTCTCGTGGAACCGTCGCAGTTTCCACCGAAATTTGCCTGACATCAAATCTATAATAAATGCCTATCATCCTGTGTGCTTAGCAATACAAGAAACAAATCTGAAACCAGAACAACATGCAAAACTTCGGAGGTTTTCTTTTGTCAGGAAGAACCTTGCAGGTGAGCTTGCCAGTGGAGGTGTAGGTCTCCTCACCTCACTGGATTATCCCTCAAATGCACTTTCTTTGACGACATCCCTCCAAGTTGTCGCTACTCAAGCAAATTTTGATATTGTTCATTTGTTTCTCTGTATTTGCCTCCAAATGAGCTCATTGATGAGCAAGATTTAAATGATCTTATAAAGCAGCTGCCTGAGCTCTATATAGGAGATTTTAACGGCCATAGTCCGCTGTGGGGTAGTAAAGATACAAATTCCCGAGGAAGACAAATAGAGCAGATGATTGAAGATCATAGCCTTTGTCTCCTGAATAATGGGCAGGATACTTACTTCCATGAGCCTTCAAGGATATTCCATGCTCTCGATCTTCCTATCTGTTCACCATCTCTGTTGTCATTTTGCACCTTTAGTGTCGGAAATGATCTATACAACAGCGATCATTATCCCATTTTTGTGTCTTGCACAAAGATGAGCAAACCCTATGTCGAGACTACCTCGGTTTATACTGGACAGAGCAGACTGGGAACTTTTCCGTTGCAGAGCTGACAGATGAAATGGTAGAAGATGCGCATATCAGTGATGCTGTTGAAGCTGTTACTAATACTATTATTGCGGCAGCTGTACTTTCTATTCCTAGAACGTCAGGAAAAATAGTAAGATATATGAAACCATGGTGGAATCGTGATTGTCATGAAGCACTGAAGGAAAAAAAAAGCATAGGGAATTTTTCGTAGATATCCTACTCGGCGAAACCTCATATCATTTAAAAGAGCCAAAGCAAATGCACGAAAGGTAAGAAGGCAGAGCCAGAGAGATTCCTGGATTACATATGTCTCCTCAATAACATCCTCTACTCCTAGTAAGCGGGTTTGGGAAAGAGTTCGAAAAGCATGCAGAATATATAAAGACCACTCTTTCCTTTCTGGAAAAAGATGGCCGAGTCATTAGCTCCATAGAAGAAATTGCAAATACTATTGGTGAGACATCTGCCGTTTCTTCCAGCAGAAACTATTCACCTGCATTTCTCTCTATCAAGCAGCACTCGGAAATAAATCCCATCGCATTCAACTCTTCCAAATCTGAGCCTTACAATAGAGACTTTACTATGCTTGAATTAAAGAGAGCTTTGTTGCAGACACATAACCTTGTCTGGGTCTGGATGGCGTGTATTATGAAATGCTAAAGCATCTGTCCTATAAGTCACTGACTGCCCTTTCTAACACTTTACAATAGAGTGTGGAAGGAGCGTACTTTTCCCAGTGCATGGAGGAGAGCTGTTGTAATTCCTATTGTTAAGCCAGGGAAAGACCGAGGAATCCCTCCAACTATCGGCCAATTGACCTTACACAGTTGTGTTTGCAAACTGTTTGAAAAGATGGTAAACAGCCGCCTAGTCTAACTTATTGGAAAAGAATAATAATATATCGCCCTTATCAAAGCGGTTTTCGAAAGGGGAGAACGACCGTAGATAATATGCTTCTTTTAGAGACATCTATTCGAAAAGCCCTTGTCAGAAGAATTCACCTTGTCTCAATATTCTTCGGCATTGCGAAAGCTTATGATAAGGCATGGAGATGCGGTATACTTCGGGATCTTCACGAGAGTGGCTTGCACGGCAACGTACCAAGTTTCATTCAGAATTTCTTGAACACTAGAACTTTTCAAGTAAGGATTGGATCTGTTTTTTCGGATGTTTTTGAACAAGAAGAGTGTGTGCCTCAAGGCTGTGTGCTTAGTGTAACGCTGTTCAGTTTAAAAATAAATTCTGTATTAAAAGAACATCCTCCCACCATCTTGGGATCACTATATGTAGATGATTTACAAATTAGCTGTCGAGGGGCAGACATGAGATATATAGAGAGGCAATTGCAGATGGCTCTGAATAAGATCCAGGAATGGTCAAACAAACAGGGATTTACTTTTTCCAAACAAAAAACTGTCTGCATGCACTTTTGTAGGAAGCGAGGTCTCCTCCTGAACCTGAGTTATATCTGAATGGTACAATTATTCCAGTCGCGCCTGAAGTAAAATTTTTAGGAGTGACGTTTGACCACAAATTGACTTTCCTTCCTCATGTTTTAAACCTGAGAAAGAAGTGTTTAAAAACACTAAATATTTTAAAAGTGTTGGCGAACACCTCTTGGGGTGCAGAACGTTGCTCTATGCTTCGCATTTAGAGCCCTTGTTTGCTCTAGACGACTATGGATCCGCTCGATCATCAGTTTTGTTAAACTAGATCCTGTTCACCATCAAGCTCTGCAGATTTGTTCAGGAGCTTTCAAGACTTCTCCTGTCCAGAGCCTGTATGTTGACTCTAACGAACCATCACTTTATCTGAGGTGTGAGCAATTGTCCCTTTTGCAATATATTTTAATATATAATAATATTTAATATATATTTTAATATTCTATCACAACCTGAACATCCCAATGAGCTGGGCTTACTTGATAATGTATATAACACTTTATTTGAAACACGTCCATCCTGTGTTCCTACCTTTCCTTTAAGAGGAAGGTTTTTACTACCTTCCCTATCATTGAGGAACATCCCCTCTCTGATATGCACCCCCAAGCAGTACAGAACTTTGAAATCCCACCTTGGGAAAATTCACAGATTCAGCTTCTTGATGTTTTCAAACATCACGTGAAGGCAAGCACTAACGAGATCGTAGACAGACAACTCTTCGCTGAGCACAGGCACAAATATAGTAGTTATCTTCCAGTCTATACAGATGGATCCAAGTCAAAAGATCATGTTGGAATGGCATTTGTAATTGAAGATCACATGGAGGGCAGATGCTTGCACCGTGCTTTCTCTTCTTAACATCCGAACTAACTGCGATATATTATAGTCTTTTGTACATCTCAAGGCTCTGCCACAAAAAGTTTATACAGACTCGTATAGTGCGCTTAAATCATTAGAAGGTTTTTTCTAACACTCAAAATCCAGTAATAGTGGATATTCTTAAGTTACATATAAACTTAACAGGTCGTGGATATGAAATCCTGTACTGCTGGGTTCCCGGGCATGCGAGAATAAAGGAAAATGAGCTGGCAGATATCACAGCGAAATGTGCTGTTGAGAACTGTGACCATTCGTCCTCATTCCCTTTTGGAGACATCTGTTGTTGTCATGAAAGAAGAAGATTTTTTTTTAAAAAAAAGGCAGCAACTTTGGGGATGTTCAGCTTCACAACAATAAATTAAGACAGTGTAAAGCCTAGAATTGAGCATTGGGAATGTAACTAAAAATCGTAAGGAGGAAGTTCTTTTGACTTGCCTCAGAATTGGTTGCACTAGAGTGACACATAACAACCTTTTGAAGGCTGAAAATGACCCTGTTTGTTTCAAATTGTAATGTTTGTCTCTCTGTCCTTCATATTTTAATTGTGTGTCCATGTTTTATTAGTCTTCGTGAGAAACCGTGGACTTACCGTTTCGACCGTTTAATTGGAAGAGAGGTTCAGTTTTAATTAATTTATTTTATTATTTAAAAGAGACTGGCTTTATTATCTAATGTAATTTGTTTTGAAAGACTGCGTCTTGAATTTTAATACGTGCTTTTAACTTGTTTTTATATGACTTCATCCTCTGGATTTGGTACATTTGTCTACTTGTTTTTATTTATTGTATTTTAATTTCATCATTTGCAATCATCCCATCTTGTGTTTGGCGCACTATAATCATCTCTGGTTTTTAGCGCCATAATCTCTCACTCACTCACCCAGGATGCCCTCAACAGACCAGTCGTCAAGAAGACCACCACATCGTAAAAAATGCACGCGTACAGCCAACTGCTTCATCGGCCACCATCCAGGCACAGGTAGCACCTTCACTAGAGGCCCCTGTGTCTTCTCGAACCCTATGAAGGCACCTTGAAGGACAGTTGGTATCGTGGCGCCCATTACGTGTGCTGCCCTTGATGCCTGCCCATCAACGCCTCCGTTTGGAGTGGTGTCGAGCACGAGGAAACTGGACTGCAGCGGAATGGAACCAGGTCGTCTTTAGCGACGAATCCAGATTCAATCTCGGCAGTGATGACAATCGTGTTCGTGTGTGGAGAGTCCGCGGTGAACGCCTCAATTCTGCCTTTGCTGTACAGCGACACATCGCTCCCACAGCTGGTGTGATGGTATGGGGTGCCATTGCCTACAATACACGGTCACCCTAGTATTGTTCCGTGGCACCATGACAGCCCAGCGGTATGTTCATGAAATCCTGCAACCACATGTATTGCCACCCATGCAACGGCTCCCAGGAGCCATTTTTCAACAAGACTGCTTGCCCTCATATGGCAAGGGTGTCGCATGACTGTCTCCGCTTCCTTGGCCTGCCCGATCCCCAGATTCGTCTCCAATCGAGCATATCTGGGATCATTTGGGAGGACGAGTTGGGCATCCCACAAGTTTGAACGAACTAGAGGCAAGGTTATAGCAAATATGGAATGAAATATCTCTTTTCTCTGAAATAAATTATCCTTTTTCTTTGATTTTCTTACCATTTACTTATATCAAACTAGTCATAACATATGTAAAATTTCGTTTTATTTTGACGACTCCTTCTTGGTGCACTAATTTTTTGTCCGTGAGTGTATATATATATAGAGAGAGAGATTGAATAAGAATACATTAATTTTAGCTATTTGCATGTAATAAGGATTTAGAAACTTTTAAAATATTGATTGTAAGGAATATGCAGATGCTTTTAAAATAATTTTTTAAAGAAAAGAACTGTGCTTGTCGTACATTTAAATTTGGTAATGCAAGTTCTGAAATATTAATTCTTTTATGTAACATTTAATAATACGCTTATCATTTTCATTTTGCAAAAGATAAATTGCATTAATGTTACGCATTAATATACATATATTTCATGTTTTAGATTTAGTAATTTTATACATGTAACTTTTGTTATAGGTAATGACTGACGAGCTTGGAAAAGCGAAAGGCTTTGGATTCGTAAGCTTTGAAGAACCAGAGAATGCTGAAAAGGTCTTTTTAATTATGAAATAATTATTTTATAAAGTGTAAATTGATGTATTTATATGTTCATTTTCTTGTAAAGAATTTTTTTGATGACCAAAGCATCTGTGATATTATAGTGTGACTATCAAAAGTGGCTCTTATTGTAGCTGTTTAGCTTCTTCTGTGACAGGTTCTCTGATCTATATTTTTGTCATTATTAGTTATTTAGCTGTTAAAGTCAACTGAACATAAGAAGTGAAATTGTCTAATGGGAAAAAAAAAAAAAAAAAGTAATTGTTTATGGCGTCTCTTTTCAAAATCCCCCCCCCCAGAAAAAAAGGTTAGCAAAATGCTGCCAAAAATTTGAGCTGGGGTACTCAGTAATTGCAGAAATGAATATTATTTATTATATAGGGAGATGCTGTTAAATACTAATAAATGAATCTGAAGAAAGCAAAATTTTGAATTTAATCCAGAAATGGAATGTATAGGTTAAGTTATAATAACGGCCTGGTATGAATACTTCTGAAAGATGTTTTTTCGAATGTATACTGGTAGCAAAGTAGATTATTCTGTATATTACACAGAGTTCTTAAAGTTCATGAAAACATTTGAAATATATAAACTTTTATAGGATTTAAGGAGTTTAAATCTGGAATCAGTCTCTGTTTTGTTTTGTCAAGTACCTCTTCCAGCATTTTTATATTGTAGGTGCATGAAAAATTATCACATTTTATGTGATTTAGAGCCCATTTTGAATATCTATTTGGAAAAACTGAAACTTAATTATGCAATGAAATGATTTAGCAGTGCCTTTTTATTAGTTTCTGAAGTGCCTCTAGATTTTTACATCAATATCCACCATCATTGTCTTCATTCTAATAACTCCTGTAATGGAGACTCCATCCCCTTTCTCTATTACAGTGGCTGAATTGTGTGAGAAAAAGTTGTACTGATAAAAATTTTTCCCTCAATATGAAATTAGTTTTAACTTTAGTTTAGTTCTTGAAATTTTGAATTTCTGTAACCTGTTTTATATAATGAATGTGCATTTTTGGAATTTTGAGCCGTTTGGTACTTCTATTATCTCGAACAAGAACAAAATTTGGTTCGAGTATAGAATTGGGTGCCCCTTCGATTAGTGACAATTTTTTAAAAAATTTTGGCGATTAAACTTCATATCTGGTTACCATAATAGTTTTAAATTTGTTTTAGCTTCCTGATTTTTTTTTTAATGAAAATAGATGATGTGTACATGGACAAATTTAAGGTAATACACAATGCCTAGTTAGTGCAATTCTGCGATGTTTTTGTAAATGAAAACAGATCGATGTGTACATGAACACAGAGTTTGTGCAATTCTTTGACTTTTTGTGGTTTTATGTAGCGGCCATCTTGAAACTGTGCCTTCCTGGTGCCGATCTTGGCATCAAAAAAGAATTGCCAGAAAACAAGAGGCACCCAATTGTAAACTATTACCCAAAATTTGATGAAATTACACGAGAAGTCTTATTTAATATTTCCATTTTTATAGTGTAGCAATGTTAGAGAGGTATTTTTTTCTTTTGGTAGAGGAGGCAGTTGCTGTGACTTTTTCTTAAGACCTAGTTTTGTGCAAATATTCAACAGGATTGTTTAGGTTAAAATAGGTTTTTAGATATTTATTTGTGATCAGATAAATGAAGATGCATTAATTACCTAAATAGGTGATAATTTGCCAAATATGCTCATAATTTTTTTTTATATGTACTTTATAATTTGAATGTAGATCAGTCATGGATTTTTTGTAAAATACATTGTTAATTTTAACTAAATGCGTAACTAATTTTACTCTTTATTTATTACCTACTTTCATGGCTTTTTGTATTTGTTAAATAGGCTGTTGAAGATCTTAATGGGAAAGAATTAAATGGAAAGACTTTATATGTTGGTCGTGCACAAAAGAAATCTGAAAGAGCAGCAGAATTGAAGCGTAGATTTGAATTGTTGAAAATGGAACGTATGAATAGATACCAAGGTGTAAATTTATATGTCAAGAATCTTGACGATGCTATCGATGATGAACGCTTAAGAAAAGAATTTGCACCTTTTGGAACAATAACTAGTGCTAAAGTAGGTTTTTTAATATTTTGTTTGTGAAACCAAATTATTAAAATCATTTATAATTTTAATCTATGTTATTAAGTGTAATTTTGGAGAATTATAGTAATCACCTTTAATAACTATAGATAATTATATTTCTGGAAAATAAAATTTTAGGTCATGACAGACGGAAATGGACGTTCCAAGGGATTTGGCTTTGTCTGCTTCAGCTCTCCAGAAGAAGCAACTAAAGCAGTAACTGAAATGAATGGGCGAATTGTTGTGTCTAAACCTTTGTATGTTGCTTTAGCTCAACGTAAAGAAGAACGCAAAGCTCATTTAGCTTCTCAGTACATGCAACGAATGGCCGGGATGCGCATGCAGGTAAGGCACATTATTCAACCTTGTTTTAATTCTAGCTTTAAATTTGATGGCAATTTTTACTTGTTACTTTATAAAAAAGAGCGATTTTAAAATTGTTTGAATAATGTGAAAAAATTCTCATCTGAAATGTTTGTTAATAATTTGCATGTATGAATAGTATATGCGATTTTATGAAAATGAACATTTAATTCCATTTTATCATGTTCTTTTGCATCAAATTCTTCATGTAATGCCGAAAATTTTGTTCATATCTGAGAGGAGGTTGTGGGTCTCTGCTGCATTATTTTTTAATTTATTAATTGTCCATATAGGTGCAAAGTTTATTAAAACTGTCTTACTGTATATGAACTGTAAAAAGTATTTTATATAAGTGTTATATTGATGGAAAGATTACAATAAGTATGAAAGAAATATCAAATAGGTTGCATTCTAAATTATTTTCCTTCAAGTTTTTTAAAACAGTTTATTATTAGTATTTACTAGTAGTTTCTGGTAAAACAAAATGAACAATGCAATGCTCTCGGAGTGTTTAGCCATTGCTAAGATGTTTCGCCGGCCGTAGATGAAATTTATTGCAATTCATGAAACTTAAAATTATGGAAATTTCATTCCTCCACCCCTAATGATTTACAATCTTACCTATAATGTGTGATTTTTCTTATTCAATTTTGTTTCATTTGAAGTATCTTAATCTACTGTAGACATTTATAAAAAATTTTACGAAGATTCTCAACCCATGTTTAAGCATATAATATGTGTATTTAATCATCAACGTATGCAACAAAATAGTTTGCATTCTAAATTATTTTTCCATAAGATTTTTTTACAGTTATTTCCTATTAGTATTTGGCAGTAGTTTCTGCATAAAACAGAAAAATATAGTATGGTATGCATGATGATACTGGATATCATAATTTTAGAATTTGGTCTAATAGCTGCCAGCTCGATCTGTTTAGCCTTTGCTTAAAAAAGTGTTTCCCAGCAGTTAATGAAACTTTTATTATGCATATTTAATTCCTAATGATTTACATTGCCTCCCATCAAATATGCGATTTTTCTTATTACATTTTGTTTGATTTAAATTATTTTAACCTACTGTAGTCGTTTATAAAAAAATTTATGAAGATTCTCAACCCATGTTTAAGCAGTTAATATTTGTATTTAATTATGAACATATGACACATTACTAAGTTTATATCCTCACAATTTTACTTATATTAGTTTTTGGATGGGGTTTGAGCTATTTGTGTTTACTTGAACTTCCAGTGTATATGTTACGGTAAAACACCGAAATCTGGAGAATGTCAACATTCACAAAGTCGCTTGGTGTATGTCCGAAATATTTTCAAATATTCTTATTTCTGACTTACACCGGTGAATGTCGACATTCACCATGTATTAATGGTGAATGTTGAACATATAAGAATATTATATTTCCTTCTCCGTAATTCATTCGCAAAAAAACGCACTTGAGACTCAGAACTTAAAACACACAGTACATTCAAAATGAGAAAGGAAAATAATATAAGTTATAAACTTACCAAATTATGTGATTCAAATCTTATTTATTGCAACATCTTAAACTATTATGACACTTTGAATTGCACGAGAGGCCCTCGCTTTTTATTCCTGCATTTATTTGTGAAACACTTCCTTTTGGAGTGGCAGTGTGTACATATCCTCTCTTTCCGACCTACACCAGAGCATATCCGTGATTGTCGACATACACCGGTGAGGGTCCGAATGTACAAGAACGTAAAGAAATATTCGATCTTTCACCGACGTATGTGGTGAATGTTGACATTCTCAGGTGAAAGTCGACATTCTCCAATTTCAGTCTTTCACGGTAACATATATATATATTCTGTTTTTGCACGTTTTCATTGATATATGCTACCAGGTATTTAAAAAAAAAATATTTTCATTTTAGCTGGGACAGATGTTTAACCCAGGAAGTGCCGGATATTTTGTACCAACTATGCCTCAAGCTCAAAGAAGTTACTTCCCACAAATGGCTCAAATGCGTGCAACTCCTCGATGGCCCACCACTCAGCCTCAGATGCGACCAGGAGGTCAACCAGCTGCAGGTACTTTTTGTGCATATTTGTAATAGTTAAGATATTATATTTTAATGAAGTAGTGATTGCATATAAGTTCTATTAATGTAAGCTAGCTGATAAGTGAGGAAGAAATTTTATTGCAGAGATGATAGTGAAATTGCGAATACGTTTGCATTGAAAAGGTATCGGTTAGATTGATGATAATCAAACTTATAGGACTTAGTTTATTATGCAACATTTTCATAACACCTATTAATTTTAGCTGATAAAATGGAAAAGAAATTTTGTTCCTGGGATAAGAAATATATTTGTAATAAAAATGAATGCTTTTAAGTGTTCATATTGATGAAATTTGCAGGTTTTCATTCTTTAATCACCTTTTATTATTTATTATATTTTTTGTAATAAATTTTATATTAAATTTTTCTTTCCAATATTTCATTTGATCTGAACTGTTCTAATCAACTGTAGGCTTCTGTAGAACTTTATGTGAATTGCATGTGTTTGTATACAATGAGCAGAACTTCGGCAGTTTGATAACAATATCCGAATCACAATTATTAGTTATAATCGCTTTAAGAGGAGTCGACTATACGTACCTTCTCTGAAATTAAAACTCATGCCTAACATTATAGCTGTCAATGTGTCAAAATATTTTATTTTGAATATTTTCAATAGAATTAATTTTTCTTTTAAAGATATTGCAATACTTGCTAGTGAGAATACATTTTGCAGAAGTAAATAGTACAGAAAAAATGTAGGCTATTTGCTCTAAGGTTCAGCATTAGAGATTTCAGTAGTCAAACTTGGTATAACTTATTCGAGTTCAAAAATGTTTTTCCAGATATTTTGCTTTTAAAGATTTTGTAATTGTGTAGAAATCAAGTAAAGTTAGTTTTGAAGCAATGTGCTCTTTCTTTTTTTTTTTTTTTTTTTTTTTTTTTTTTTTTTTTTTGTTTGTTTGTTTGTGTGTGTGTGCAGCAAGAAGTTTTTTTTGGGGGTGGGGGCTAGGTTTATGAAGTGTTCTGTAATGCATTCATTTGCAAGAAATACACTTGTGCAATGACATACTTTTTAGCTATCAAGTACATGACTGAATTCGTGTGTTACATTTTGTTGGTAGCTTTGCAGATTTTATTAACCTGATATATTCAGTGAGTATTCAGCCATTTTTGCTGTTGCAAGTGTCAGGGCTCGTATGGTCCTTTAAAGTACTTTAAAGTACTAATCCTGGATTTTTGAGAATGAATTTGGTCCTTTAAAGTTCTTAATTTTGCCCAAAATTGGCAAAAGATCCCTTAACTCTTTCGCATCGAGAGACGACCAAATCTGTTTTCAACAAACATCGAAAACACCCGTGTTTACGAATTTGTCTTGGAATAGTTTTCCTTTCCCCCTGCGGTTTCATCCATTGTGTGCAGTTTCACCTTAGGGCCGGACTGCACCTGCGAACGTCAATAGCTTTCCGTATTTCTCTTTTATTTGCTTCAAAAGAATGATTGACATGTCTTTTAACAACTCGCGCAACCAATGAGCCATACACTAACGTGGAGGGGAAAGAACTAGGTAGAAAATAAACGAGGCGTTTGGGCGGTTTACCGTTGCCTGAATGAACGGGTGTTACGGGCAACTTCGATGCGAAAGAGTTAATTTTAGTCATATGACATTCATTTTAATGATTGCCATTTTGAGTGTGAATTAACATTTTGGAGGAATATTTCTGGCAGTGTATTGACAAGTATGTATTATTTTCTACTTCTTAATACAAAAGGAGGGATTTAGGCAAGAGGTCTTGCCCCTTTTGATGCATAAACATTTAGAAAAAAAAAAATTTTTTTTTTGTGAATGAATAGTTTATAAAATATTGCATCCAAAAATAGTTTCTCTTTTTGGAATAAGAGTTATTTTATTATGCAACCTTAAACTTTCTAATTACCAACATTTTGGCAATTAAAAGATCAGTTTGTATACAAAGATTTTAATTCAGAGATTTGCGAAACTTATGGAGATTTTTTTACAAACATTATATTAGTAAAGATGATATTTTTCTTAAACGTAATTTTAATATATTAAAATAAAACATTGTTATTTTCTCCTGCTGTATTTTAAAATGACATTGCTTTCCGTTTGGTGACTGGAATATTTTGATTATGAAAGATTAACAAGATAATAAATGGTATAAAGCAGTTTTCAAAAGAAAAGGTGTAATTATTTAAAAATTAATTTCATGCGTTTTCTTTTATATTTCTTCATGATAGTTTCAGAATATTAAAATGTGTATCAGTGTTCTGTTGAAAGTTCACTTTTCTTTTCTGAATTTTATTTTTCAAAAATCTTGTCTTTTTAGCCATACAGAATTAGGTAGAATAATTTTGGTACTTGCGTATTAATGTCACCGCAGCTGCAGATTTGACGGTTTTTTAAGTGCTGCCATTCTACACCTAAAATTTTTGTGACAAATCATAAATTAAAACACTTTATTTAAAATCAAAGTAGTCAGTCGGAATGGGCCGATATAAAGTTTAACATAGTTTCAGAACAGTCTCTATTTTCTTTGACCTGATGTCGCCATATGAACTCTGCTAAACAAGATTCTAAATGACATCTCACTGTTCCCCTATGTCTTTTGTTCCTCCATTTAACACTGCCCTACATTCTCTCAACTGTTTGGCTATGAACTCCTGTATCAGGATCAATAAAATTGTATTTATGATTAACTATAACATGTACTATTCTATTTGTTTGTCTTTTTTAAGTCCCCCTTGCTGCTATCACTGTCTTAAATTACATTTCCAAAACGTGCTTTTACCAAAATTTCATATCATGCAAATTGTTTTTTATTATTATTATTATTATTATTATTATATTTCGCTCCTGAAAAAAATATAATTGCATCTTCTGTGTTTGCCAAATCCCAAAGACTCATTTTTTTAACACTACAAAATGCCGTCAAAATTCAGCAAACAAGGCAAAAAGGAATTTAAAAGATAACTACGTGCGAACAACAGGATTGCTCTTTATTGACACATCAGCCCAACTTCTGCTGCGCAGAATTTAGACTTTGCACTTCGGAAGGTTTGAAGGCAAGATATTTGCAATTTCCAAAAACGGTGACAAAATGAAAAGTGTCTTCATGGCATAAACACATAATTCGTGTGTTTTATAGGAAATCTGTGATGAATTTCTTATGTTTTAGAGGATTTTTTTGGAAAGGACAGTGAAAACAAAAACTTCCCCTTTTTGATCGCAGAAGTGTTAATGTGTTAATATGTATCTTTTCACTAGACACAAGCATTGAAGCAGTCAAAGAAAGGAAAACTGACCGGTTATTAAAAGGTTCATCGTATATGTCTTGGTGCATGATACATACCTCAGTCAGTTCTAAAAGTTTTGTCCTAAATTGTGTTGCGTGGTGCTTCACGAAATTCTAAAACTTATGCCATGCTGACTCTAGCACTGACTTTGATCTTGTATTATTTGTCTCATTACTCCTATTATTAAAGAAATTAAATTAGCAGTTTCTTCTACTCATTCTAAATACAATCAGTTCTTTGAAATAAGAAAATCTTTAATTAAATCTGGAAATTCTAAAATGAAGAAATTGATTTTATAAAGAAAAAAAAAAATTCAAAGGTGCATGGTTGAAACACTAACAATTAATCGGAAGTGTGGAAACATTAATTTGTTTATTGAAACAAATAAACTTAGAAAAAACCTTGCAGACAAGGAAATTGGTATAAATTAACTAAAATATCTGGGAAACTCTCAAATTAAAAAGATGCATAAAGATATTGTTTGCTACAAACATAAATGTTTATAGCTTTTAATGTATAATTATACTAATATCATTTTAGAATCAATATAATAAATTATATTTGCTGTAAAACGTTCTTAATCCTTTTTAATGGATATTTTTTAGAAATAAAATTGGGATCGTATCTATATAAATCTGTTATTATTGAGAGTATTTAACTATTTTAATTATTTGTAACTAGTTGCTCACCCTTAGAAATTATCTCTACATGTTAAGGCGAGTTATTTCCTTCCCTTAATCCATTGTGATTATGCCCCTTGACAAATTTCATAAACCTGTCGACTGAGTAAGTTGTGACTAAAGGCATTAATTAAAATATCAGTATCAAGCTAATTGTTTGCAAATTTTAAATAAAAAGTCATTAATCTTTAAAATACGTGAGACTTATAATTGTTGGCAGTGGCATTATAAAGGCAAATCATATTTTGCTTCCCTTAAATAAAATTCATGCTTTATTCTGTAAATTAAAATAAAATAAGCTAACACTGTAGCCTTTACATTTAAAATCATTTGAGTGAAAGAATACTAGCTACATTATTCTGCTTATGCTAACTCATAATAAAAAAGACTACCGGCGTACATATAATATTTGGCCAAACTACCGACCTTGACGTCATTGGCCAATCAGGCGGCAACCGTGTTACCTTACTGCCGATCTCTGATCAAAATTTGCATAAGGAAAAACTAAAACCAACAATAATAACTGTAAAATTTCAGTGTTTCAAGAATTGTGAAATTTAATTCTGATTACCTGAGAACATTAGTTTATTCTTAAATATTACAAAAGTTGTGTGTAGATCAGGTGTAGATAATTGCTTTAGTTTATTCAGTTCTATTTGCTTTGATAGATCCATAATATTTTTCATTGATGGTCCTTAAAAGTACTTAGTTTCCTTCTGTAAAAATGTGTACAAACCCTCAAGTGTGTATTTCTACATATATATGCACTAGTTAAAAATGAACTGATTATGAGAAAATAAGCTTCTTTTAAATGTTTTGATCGTCTATCCTAGGTTTTAGCTTTTATGTAATGCTTTCTTATACTTAAACATATTTGCTTTTCAGTTTTCAATCCATGCATGAGTTTTTTTTCCTAATGTTCTGCATAAAGCACATTAATGTTCATGTATAACAATTTTAAAATATTTTTTAGCATTCCAAGCTATGCAGTCTGCTCCATTTGCTAGAGCAAGCTGCACGTCCAGCAGTTGCAGCTTCGCAAAATCCAGGAATGAGAGCCGGTATGAATGCTCGACCCATAACAGGCCAACAACCCACTGCTGCAGCAGCTGCTGCATCTGGAACAAGAGTTGCTGCAATGGGTCCTACTGGTGTAGGTGCTGCACGACCTACTAGTATGGCTTCTGCAAATGTCAATCAAAGACCAGCCACATACAAATATACTTCCAACATGCGAAATCCACCACAACCTCAAACAGTTCAACAAGCTGTTACCCAGCAAGCTGTGGCTCAGCAAGCCGTGCATATACAAGGCCAAGAACCTTTGACTGCTTCCATGTTAGCAGATGCCAAATGCTCAAGAGCAGAAGCAAATGCTAGGTGAACGATTGTTCCCTGTAATCCATCGTTGGTATCCTGAGATGGCTGGAAAGATCACTGGAATGTTGTTGGAAATAGATAATTCTGAATTGTTGCATATGTTAGAACATCAAGAGTCACTGAAAGCTAAAGTAAGTACAGTTGCAAGTTCCAAAATATAAATTTTCTGTCAGCTTAATAATGTTTAGATATTAACTCTGAAGACCAAAACAGCTGAGATGACGTATCATTCAAACAACCGTAACTGCTTAAAATGACCCAGATTGCGATGGTTTCTTCTGTCCTCCTTAAGTGTGCGATAGCAGGTGCAGTTTCTCATATGCATTGTAGCAGTTTCTTGCAGACAACTTGTCTTAAAAGGATTTACTTGTGGTTTATTATCTTTATTTGTTAGGAAGCATTTAAAATCTTCACAATAATGGATTGAGGGCGGGATTCCTATGAATTTGTGAAAGCCATTTTGGGCGGTTAATTTAAACTGCAGAATATTAGATTAATAAATTGTCTGTGTGAGGCATAAAGCTAAGGAAAGCAAAATATACATTCTGGTGCAATATTTTAATTTAAATAATTTCATTAAAAAAGAATAACAAAAATTTAATTGCTAAAAGAAATCAGAATTTAGATCATTTTTTAATTTGATGTTTTATCAATTTCTTTTATTAGAATAAGTTTTTTAGAAATTTATAAATTCAAAAGATATTAAGAGATCCTTATTATCTTTTTTGTTTTAAAAGTGACAAGTTTCTTGTGAGGAGTATAACTATCCAATATTTAAAACAAATTGTTCAACTTATATTCTTTTTAAATTCTGTTACAAAAATTGATGATATCAGGTTTGCTGGCTTTGTGTGAGCTAATGTATAGATTGATTTAAAAGAAAATTGTATTAACATAATTTTGCATTTTAACTATTTAATGGATTCTCCCTTATATAAAATCCTTTTACTTATGACAGGTTTAGAAATTAACCTATTTTCAAAAATTCATACAATTTATTTGTCTTTGTAGGTTGAAGAAGCTGTTGCTGTACTTCAAGCTCATCATGCTAAAGAAAATATATCAGTTGCCGGAGGCATAAAGAAAGAAGCTTAACTGTCTTGTTCTCTGAGCAAGTATACAGGAACGTTTCTTCCGTTATATACAATAAAAAAAGAAAAAGAAAAAAAAAGAGAAAAGAGAAAAACCCCACGTGAATACCATGCTTTATAATATAAAAAAATGACAAAAAAATAGCAAAATTTAAAAAATACATAAGGATTGTTGTAGAATAAATTTGACTTATTCTACATTATTCTGCTTATATGAGTATATATTCTATATAAGTATATTTATCTCTATATATATATCCTATTTGATTTAAGGGACTATTTTTTTCTTTTAGGTAGGTGTAGGATTTTTTCTGTATTAAAATTTGATTTTTTTCAATAAAGTTTTTTTTGCATCATAATTGTTTTTGCATTTATTAAACTGGGTGTCAAACATTCTGTATAAATTGAACTTGTCACTGGTTTATAAAACTTTTCATAAATATATTGGTCACATGTAAAAGTTATATTTTTCTATAAAATAAGAAAACTGATAAGTTGTTTAATGACTTCTCATTAATTCTATTTTGTATGTCTGGCTATCTAGTAGTATTTGCCATTAAAAGTTCTTAATGAAAATGGTATGACATTTGTACATCATTTGATGATGTGCGAGGTTTGAAATAATATTGCTGTTGTTGCATATCAGAAAACTATGCTATATGAAAATAAAAAACTAGAGACCCTTTCCAGTCCAAAAATGTTTGGTTAATGATTTTTTTAATTATTATTTATTATTTTGGCTAGATGAAAATAAAAAAACTAGAGACCCTTTCCAGTCCAAAAATGTTTGGTTAATGATTTTTTAATTATTATTTATTATTTTGGCCCTTTCCCTGTTAGGGTGGTAGTTGAACTGTTTGGCATTGCCTGTGCTGAGTTATTTTATAAAAGACAGATATAAAAATTTCATTCAGAGGACTTAATTTAAACTGTGTTCATAATTTGCGTAGATATTTTATGCAAGTACACCTATAGTTTTTGTTGGCATGACACATTTCAAAACATTATACCAATATAATTTTCTTGCAGGAATGTGTCACCTTAAATTTTCTTTATCCTGATTATTATAAATGTTATTTTGGGCAAATTGTTTTCATATGCAAGAAGCTATGCATCATCCTCGTGAGTAGTTATTCCCTGATGTTTACCTGTTACTTTATGTATCTAATATCCTTATGTTTCTTGCAAGGCACTTCTGTGTTGGTACCACTACTAAATTGTACTTGATAATGTCATTTGTATCATCATTGCATGTGTCAAAATTTTATATGTAAAATTCATCCTATTGCTTTCAGTATTTTCATATTTGGTAAGCTTTAGAATGTCTTTGTTTGGTGATATTTTATACAAGTATACAAAATTATGTGAATATTAGTGAGTTAAAAGAAAGATTTTAATGTCAGATATCTTAAATGACTGGAAAGATTATTTTTGATACTGCAGAATCCAGAGATAAATTTTCACATGGTAATGCAAGATCAGTATTCTTAGATTTTATAACGTAAACAAAGTTATATAATGATGCTGTGCGCTCTCCTGTACACTAGCACATCTAAGATAGGCATAATTTGAATATCCCAGGATTTTATGAGAAAGAATTCAAAGGAAAACTAATGCTGCATTGCAAGATATCCTTTGCAAATGATGAACATTAACCATTTAAAGTAACAAAATTTTCAGTTTGTCCAGCTTTTGACAGTAAAGGATTGACATTCATTGTTTGGTTGGGAGGAAGCACCTGCTGACAGATTACTTGTACTCTTTTAGGGCATAGTCTTTCTTTTATGATTGATAGCAGAATTGTAAATTTCAGTCCTTCAATTTGAGCATACTCATTTATTTCATATCAATTCATTGAGAAAAATATTCTATAACTAATCAAATGTAGGTCTAGAATATTGGCGTAAGACTCATTTTTGCAGAAGGCTAATGTGGAATTTCTTTCTCGGTTGTAACCTGTGACTGCAAACTTAATTGTGTATGCTAGCTTGTAGATGAGTATGTTCATTGTTTATCATGATATGGTCCAGAATTTCTTTAACCCACCAGCCGGCTCACATTCGATTCTATTTAAGTTTCAAAAACTGCAGTAAAAATTGACCATGTTTACAATTTTTTTTTCATTTAGAGTGATATCATTTTTAATTAAAAGAAAAATAATATTAATAATAAAAAAAAATTTTTTAAATTAGGAAAGATTTAATTTAAAAACTTTAATAAATTCGTTTATGCTATAATTTTCAGACTGCAATTTTGTTCCTTTAAATTTTCGAAAATACCTATTTTTTAAGTATTTTTCGGTACTTATATTAATATTGATACAAATAATATAGAAAGCACCAAACGTAGCTATGATGTATTTCAATTTGTCCTTAGTATTTTCTCACATATAGTATTAACACTTTGTCTACACGTTTCTAATGTTTCACCATAGTAAGCCTTCTCTTTCCGAATGTATTCAGTTTCTTTTCGCTTTCGTTTTCTGCTTCTTCTTTTTTTATTTTATTTATAATATTTATTTAATGTTACCATATCCTGAGTTTTACTCTAGCTATTAGCTAGCATTCATTATAGTACAAAAACTAATATAGCTTGTCAATATCAACACATTTTTATCTTCAATAAAATCCACTAATTCGATTGATGCTGTAAAAATTACAATTTAATACTTTAGCCAATTATTCTGATTATCGTGATTTAAATTCGATTTTAGGCAACATATGCATTCTTTCAGAAAAACGCGATATATTGAGCACCGCTGTTACAAGTAAATACTGTACATTCAACCATTTCATAATATGTAAATGTAGCATAACTTCTTTTCGAGTGCTTGCACTGAGAGTCTCCTTCAAGTAAACCTTAATGGAACTTTATTTCATGAAAATTTAGAGGTATTATAAAATCCTCAGAATTATTTCCATTGCAAACTTTTATAAATTATGCAGAAAAATATATAAGAAAAAACAGCAATGAGAAAATATTATCAAATATACATTTCATGACAGTAGTAAAACATTTTTTCAGTACCGATGGTATTAAAAAGCTCAATATTGTGATATTGATAACTAAAATAAAACAATATTAAAAGTTTAATATTGTGATAAGTAAAAGTATACTCATCTATAACACTCATTTGATATTTTTGCCATTAGAACTATAATGTAATTCTAACCGTTAAAGTAACTTTGTATTGGTATTAACTAGAATTATAATTGTAATTTCAATTAAATTTATCAGTACTCTTTGTTTCCTGCACCTTGAGGGAGACGCATTATTTTTTTTTTCTATTATATAAAATACTGTCCTAAAAAAAAAATGTCTCTAGACATGATTCTGTCTCCAAAATTAATGGATGAGGTGAACAGAAATAATCTTGGAACAGCCTTTGGGCAAGTGCTGCGAGTATGCGAAATGTAAGACTGTAATTAAACTTCGACCATCCTGGAGACTACACTTTCTTAGAATATTGCCATTCGACAAATTATAAGACCTTCCATTTATCTTTAAAGTTTAAGCTATCTGTTATTGACTGAGAAAAGCTGGTAATTCATTGTAGTTACTTTGTAGTTAAAACTACAACTAATGCAGTTATAATTGTAATTGTGCCGCCCAGATGGTATAGTGGTTAGGGAAGCCTGACTGCGATACCGAAGGGCCTGGGTTCGAATCCCGGAGAAGGCATGGCTATAACTGTTCGTCCTTTCATAGGAGGCGATGGGGGGCCCACATATTAGATGCCTCCATAATAAAGTGACTGCAACTTCTGGCCTTGTATAGACTAATGGACTGTGTTGCACTGTAACTGTTCACAATCTGCCATTGGGGAAAAAAAAATAATAATTGTAATACAATGATTGTTCGAATTACAATATAACTTCAAAAGCAATTAGATTTTTCGCTCAGCAGAGTAATAAGTAGTCTTTTGAATACTACTAGTTCAAATCGGATGTCCATTTTGGCAAACAATCTAAATGTTTAGATAGCTCCGTGGATTTCCTTATGTGTAACATGAATACAAATCATTTTATTTTAGAAAGTTCTCTATGAGTACATCATTCTTCTTAAACGTTTCGTTGCATTCAATTAAATAAAGATCTTTTCCTGCTTTTATTAACGGGTGATGTGAACATGAGCCAGTTTCCCTTAGAAAGTCCTCCACAGAAGCATCTTTGCAGTCTTTACCGTAATCCAAATAATATGACAATCACAGGTGCATAAGAAAATTGTACTTTTATTTGTTCTTACGTGAAACAATGATGGAAAATAGTTCATGCAAGTACTTTCACTTGTAACTGAATAATGCATTTTAACTATTTATGGAAAATGTGTGTTATGTTGAATAAAAGACCAATTCGTAATTTTTTTTTTCCAATGGCAGGTAGTAGCCGTTTATAGACATTGATCACTACTAAGGCCGGTCATGTTATTAAGGAGGGAACTAATACGTGGGCCACCGTTGCCACCTATGAAGAGGACGAACAAATTACATTCATGCCCTATCCGGGATTCGAACCCAGGCTCTTCGGTACGGCAACCAGAGTCACAAAACCGCTTTACTGTCTGGGCGGTAATTCATAATAAATGGATTTAGTAAAATGTTTAGTACACACAGCAATTAAGCATACTGATTGCTGATCAGAATCATTTTTTACCAGCTAAAGCAATAGGTTGGATAAAATTATGAGACTTAGTTTAGTCCTTGATGATCCCCTTTCTGAAAAGGAAAGGATAAATGTAATTTTTATGATTTATTTTTTGTGTAATGTAAAACAAGACAAGCTTCCCGTAACAAATCCTTCGCGAAAACATCCCTTTGCACAGGCATATACTCTTTGCTTGCTTTTCCTTAATCTTGTAATTTAAGTTCACATGTATATCGAAGATCATAAACATACATATTGCTTACTAACGTTTGTGCAGAAGGACAGCCCAGGAGCTTCTTTTGCACACTACTCTTTTTGACCCACTTTAAAAACAAATTTTTCTTTTTCCACAATATATTTTATAAGCAGGCATCAATGAGTAATGAAACGTCCTTAGTTCACAAAAAAAAGTATTGGAACTCTTTTAATTTTGAATGTTTTCATTGCGGTTTCAGTATGAAACCACCGCCCCTGTGGGACATCGAAGAAAGGATCAGAT